TCATGCTGCAGCAGGATCCTCCACCCTGTGCCCCAGAAATCCCCAAGGAGTGCCGGTGCAGGAACCGATGAGGGACTGCTGTCACACGAGGGGGACTCGAGGGGCTCAGCCCCGCTGTGCGTGGGCAGGCTGGGAGCCTGGGCTTCATCTGAGCCCCTTCAAACACATGGGCCTGATGGGCTGTGCGTATGCATAAATGCCCCTGTCTGTGGGACTTCCAGCTCTTAGGCAGTCTGTTAAGACTACTGCTTCAACTGGGCTGCTGAGTGTCTGGAAATCTTGGGCAAATGGCCAAAAACGCAGGAAGGCCCAGATGGGCCTTGTGACTTCTGCAGAAAATGCCAGATAGCAGTTTTTTTTAAGGGATGCTTGGACTGATACGGAAAGAAGAACTAGAACCATGTGGGCTGCACATGCAGAAGGAAGAGCATCATCCTAGGAGTGACTCTGAGGAAGAGCAGGCTCAGTTCTCGGGAAGGCACGTGGCAGAAATAAAAAGCTTTGGTGAGAAAATGTGGTTAGAAAGGTGAGACAAGCTCACTGCTTGTTCGGCAGAGCCTCAGAGAGGAGAAGCTGCAGTCAAGGAGACTGTTAGCAAGCACCAAGTGTTTTTCCCGTGAGATGGATGCATTGGGGGACTCCCGTGAGAGTGGGGATGCATTGGGGGACTCCAACAGGAACAGTAAGGGAAGACTGAAAGTGCTCTCTGCAGGTTTAGTGTGGGTACAAAAAATGACCTGAGTGCTGCTGTACTAGAAGATGGCCTGAAGAACAAGTCATGGTTTGAATGTGACAGAATAGGGAATACAGAATTTGCCTTTGAAGAAACATTGCAGCATTAAAAATTTCATAACTATCAGGTGGCAGGAGCAGTAGAGTAGTCACTGCCTTTACATGCCCTCCTTCGATGTTATCCTGCAGTGAAACTACCTGGGAATGCAGCCAGGACAGGTATTTGATATCACTTACACCACCGCACTCTGAAGCAAAAATGCTGCTCTCGGCAGAGGGACCTTCACATTCACACTGCTGCAGCAAAGTTCAGGAACGAGTCTTAAGTGCTCTGCATCAGCTTTGCATGTGTGTGGCTGCATTTTTATATGTTGCATGTTATGCTTAGCAAGACATTGTCTAGTTGAAGGAAAACTGACTCTACAGTTCCCCTTGGAGTGTTTGATTAGCATTCAAAAAGAGTATTCAAATGCAGTCAAGCTGCTGGGCCAGCTCTTCAGCAGGTATACATGTGATATTAGTTGACTTCAGGGAGATATACCCCGTGACACCGTTTAAAATCAAGAACTTCTGCTGGCCAACACTAAGGCTCTTACAACTTTTACATTGCACAGGGATGAGTGTGTAATCTTGGCACCCTCCCTCCTCTCCCACCTAGTTTTCCCATGATTTAGAAAATTCCTTTAAAATATAGAGATATACTGGACTGGGCCAGTTTAATCTTGTTTGGTCTGACTTATTTAGCTGTGCCCTTTTTCTCCAAAACTTTTGGCTTTATCCAGCTGTCCATTCATTTTAGAAATAATCCAAAAATCCATAGCAATTTTTTTTTCTGTCGGGAACTGCCCTTTGTGTAATTTGAAAGAGAGATGCATAATCCCAGTCGTTTATGCTGAAATGTGAAATATGCAGGCCAGTGGTCTGGGCAAAAGAAACGCTCCAGCCTCCCCTCCCCAGTGTAAAGGCACAGCTCCATCTCGTGGGCATTTGTCCCATCTCCTTCCTGATGGTACTGGCAGCCCCGGCAACCTCATGCCTCCCTGAACCCTCCAGCGTGGGACAAGTTACTCTGGGCGAAAAGGTTCAGCTCAGTGATTTACTACTATATGAAAGTTTTTGAAAGCTGGGTAAATAGAGTTGCTATGCAGCTTAAAACAAAAACAAGTTAAATTGGCTGGATAAACATTGTTTTAGTTAGATTAATAGGTGGCGTTAAAAATGACAGTGCGTTGACCCAAAACGGTTAATGTAACCAAGCCGACGCCTAGCACAACAAAGCGTGGCTTATCTGGCTGTTATTAACACTGACTTCTTATGTGGCGTTTCTAGATCACTGTGCAAACAACCCTTGCCAAAACGGCGGGACCTGTTTTTTTGCTCATGGCCATCAGATGTACCACTGTGCCTGTCCCGAGGAATTCACAGGAAAGGACTGTGAGATGAGTGAGTATCTTCTTCCGTGAGGTGCTACAAATAAGTAGAGCTTATTAAAGTTGGCTTAATGAAAAGGTAGTGCTGTTGTGATGGGAGAAACCACTGCAGCATGAGTGTTTGTGTAGGCGGGTTTCCAAATGGTTATGACAGACAACCCATTACTGACAGGACAGTTGAAAATAGCTTGATTATACAGTTATAAATCCAAGTGTGTTCTGAGCCAGTGAAGTATTAAACTATGGGAAGCACAAAGCGCCTCTTCCCCTCCCTTTGCTGATTTTAAGATTTAAATATCACTTACATGTTTGGAAATGACTAATAATACCATCTGGTAGGTAGGGTAGGGAAATATGAAAAAGCAGCAAAATTTGAGGTGACACCTTGTCCCTTATGTATATGCAGACATAGGACCATTAAAATTTTTACTGCTATGGCAGCTTTACAAGTATGCAGTTCCTCCACCTCCAGCGGATTTATTTCCAAAAGAGGTCTCAGGCCAAAAGGCTTTGCTTGGGTTATTCCTCCAGTTTTACAGCCGTTGATGTCAGTTGTGTCACTCCCAATTTACTGCACTTCAGGAGAAGAATTGGCTTTTACACACAGGGTTTTCAGTTGTGCTTGCTGTTGTTTAGTGAAGCCTTTTTTTCTGCAGCTTTAGACTTCTCTCCTGATATGTGCAAACATGCCTTTTCAGTCTTGGTGCTCCAAAGCACTAACTCCATCTCAGCCCATCACCTGTGAGAATTAACATCTTTGCCTGCAGGTACTTGGAGTGGCTGCTACAGTGGCTGCTTCAGTGGCCTCCACGCCACGGTGGTTGGCTTGTCTGAGAAGCACTGCCAACAACCATATGTCTGTTCAACAAGACGGTGCCATCCCTTGCAAGAAATAACCTCTGAAAGCCTGTGTTATTTTTTACACTGTGTTTTAGAGAAATGTTTTGACGACAGTCTCCATGAGTTCTTCGATATGGACATGAGCTGGTCAAGAACCCAACAAGGAGTGGTGGAGCAGTGCGTCTGTGTGGATGGCCACACTGAGTGCCAGCAGATTGAACACCAAAGTAAGGGGCAATGCTGCCTGGGCAGTATTTTGTATTACCTCTGTCAACCTGCGTGGAGTGGGGATAAATGAAAGTAGGGATGTCAAAGCCCTAGTGGTGTTATACACAGTAACGCTGCTTTTGCAGCCCATGTACCCCACGAGAGAGAACATTTTAACTTTCCTTTCCATGTACGAGCAGTAACATTGATCCAGGAAATCACTTCAGTATGTCCATCCTTATTTGAGGAAGCAATTGAACACTTTAAGCTGAATTTTAGGGACACACCCACATTCTTTCTTCAACAGGGATGTGATCCCGAGCTGCGACACGTAAGAATGTGCAGTAGATTAAATAATAGAAGTGGTAAAATTTCTGACCTTACGAGCTTTGTTCCAGAGCTGTGATGTGCCTGCGAGCCACACCCTGCCCTACTCTTTCCTTGCACACCTACAAGCTTCTTAAACTGTCATCTCACCTCTAGGGTGTCTTCCCAAGCCTATCCTGCTCCTGAGTTCCCAGCGTACGGACTGTACCCACCTCCAGCATCCCATTGGCCCTGCATCTGCCCCCAAGCCCCGTCGCTTTTGGGTGGACGTACCCATTCCTGGCTAGGGTGATGCTTCTGAGGTTTTGCAGCCTCCTCCTGATTTGGTGACTGCCAGGGGTCGGGTGCAGCTGGTCACCTAGCTGGAGGGCATGTGCTTCAGGTATCACTTATCTGATGAAGCCAGCATGGCACCTCTGTTTTGGAAGAGGCAAGAGAGAGGCCTCATCTGCATATGAGCTGCAGTGTGGCTACCCTGTCATTCAGCCAGGTTATGCAGTCTGCTAATTATGACTTTTATCCTGCCCAGACTCCCAAGTAGCTTGCAATACTGAGTAAGCTGCATAAAAGCCCTTTGAAATAGGTAAGAGCTTTAATTCCCACTTTACAGAGCTGGAAAATGAAGCATGGAGAAAATCTGGCTTTCTGGAACACATTGTGAGTCTGTAGGAGAGCTGGGAAAATCACTGTAACTTAATATTTCCTTTCTGATTCCCAGTCACAGTTTCTAAATACCTGACCAAGCTCACTCCTAGACAACTTGTTATAAATGTTAATGCAGCCTAGGGGCAAACTTGGAGTTGGCAGAACCCTCTGTACACAAAGAAATGCTAATACCACCATCGCCACCACTAGTAAAATAATCATCACCCCTGTTTTATCTCCTGTTCATTGATAATATTTTCAATAGCTATGCTGACATTATTCAATAAAAACAAAAACAGTGAGCCAGGCCTCAGTGGGAATATATAAATCAGCATAGCTTCCTCGTCTTCAGTTTGTATCAACTGTAGGTCTCAGTAAAAAGGGAAAACGTTCCCCCAAATATACATACACAGAGAAGGTGTACTAAAATAAGCTAAACTGGACTGCTTCTCTTGTATAGCCTGTATCTTTCATTTGACGTCTAGTTTCTGCTTGTAGGTTGCATTCAAAATCCTTGCCTGAACGGTGGTGAATGTAAAATGATTACCTTCAATAGGAAAATGGTCTGTGATTGCAAAGGAGATTATGTAGGAAAGTACTGCAATATTGGTAAGTATAACAAACTGCTGGGGAAGGGGGCAATCCAGAGTTTTCACATGTGTGTGAGGCCGGTGTTTTCCAGCCGCTCTGTTGTATTCTGCCTTTGCAGATATTTCGCGTAATGACTGAACTGGAGGGTCATGCAGAAGGTAGCACACAAGTATTTAATGCATTCCTCCAGTGTAAAACATAACACATTCTTCTTCATCGAGACCGTGATTCTACAAATATTTATTCATGTCCTTAATTTTATGGAGAATTAGCCACAAAAATTTTAATCCAGTTACTCATGCCCATAAAATTGAGCACATGCTTCAATCCTGTAGGAGTGGAGCCCCAGAGTTGTATGCTAGTACAAACGCTTCTTCACCAATTCATGTGTTTTATGCTGTCCCCTCATGAAGTAAGGATTTATATTCTGAAAAAATTTAGCAGCTGGCTATATTTGGTAGCCTTAGATTGTTGCACAAGAAGTAGATGAAGATAAAAGGGCACACATTTTATTTTGGTTGTCCTCCACCTTAAATTAATAGCGCATTTAGCTCAGCATAGCTTGGCTAAATATCCTTATTTGCACTGATGGATTGGGTAAGAGAAATCTGGCTTTTGATCCTCCTTGTTAGTTCTGTGTTGCTTCTTGTTTGAGGCTGCAGAGGTTTTAATATAACTCTCCTATAGAAGATTTAACATTTCTTGCTGGAGGGGTGAAATCTATTAAATCTGTGCACTATATCTTCAAGTTATATCAGTAGCTACTTTTCAAATACAGCGAGTGTTGTGCATAGCATGATTCTTGCACGTCCCTGGTCTACGAGGAGGAAGGAGATTGTAGCTCTGCCTCTGTGTCCTTTAGCTGCACTAGTAGAGGCTTGTTGCAGGCTTTGCCGATGCCGTTGCATGGGTTTGGGTGAGGGGCACGTGTGCAGCCTGGGAAGGACTCTGCACTGCTCATCTTCAGAGGAAAGTGCTTTTCAAATACATATTTAGTTATCAACGTCCCATGCCCAAAGCTGCGAAGCTGTTCGTAAGCGTTGACAGAGTGTGGCCTGGATTACAAATATCAGGCTGACAGTGTTACAGCTCTAATTCTGGTATCTGTCTGACTAGCTTCGAGCAAGAAATAAGCAGGTGCTCTTTGATTACTTGAAAATAATAAAGCAAGCATTTGGTTTGCTAAACAAATGGCTTTAGATGCTCACGATCCATCTGCATTCGGCTGCCTAACACCCACACACAAAACAGGGAACTGAAAGAGCGTGTTTACCTGTCAGGGCATCGATTTAGTCATTATAAATTCAAGCAAATAAATTAGTGCTGGGGTCTGCTGACCTGATAGTAACATCAGACAAAAGCAACAGCGTTCTGATGAAAGCACCAGGGGTTTGCAATCTCACAGTATGTGGAATTGATTTTTAAATATATGTTGGATTAATTTATTCTTCAACCCTTCAATTTGATGCTGTGAGCACAGCTGGCTTTTCTCTTTGTTTTGCTTTTTGCTATCTTGTATAATGTTCCTTGCCTAACAGGACTGAGTTTTGAGCTTACCCTTAAATCTGAATAGCCTGTGGTTATAAAGCTTGATTCAAAGAAAGTTACAGCATGTTCAAAATGTAATTTATTCTAAATTATTCATTTATAGAGTCAACCTTAACCCCAAGATGTGATCCAAGAATTTCTTCTCTTCCAAAAAAGGAAAACAATCAGCGTAGTAAACGCGGAGTACCCCAAAATGCTGGGTTGTGATATCTCTGAGATCACAGTGATGTCTTTTGCTCTTGACATTTACAAAGACTAACCAATTTTAATATGTTTTTAATAGAAGAACGGCTAATTTTTTTTACCAGCACATCCACATATATTAATAAATGAAGTGCCATCCTGGGTTAGATCCAAAGTCTAATTACTATTGAGACTCCAGCGTAGGCAAAGTAGAGGATGGCTGAGGAGTAATGTAAGTAGCCGCAAATGTACTGAGAAATATTTCTCCTCATTTGAGGATTTTTCTCAGCAGAAGGCTGAGCCATCATATTTCATATTCCTTTACCTGTTTTCCACAGATTAGTCTGAATGCTTTAGCACTCATTTGTGCTTTTGCCTTTCACAGCATGCTGTGTCAAGAAGTTCCAGAATTTAAAAAGCTGTGATGAGAAGCAGCATTTGCTACTGTTAGTTTAAAGCCAACTGCCTGATCATTTCATTTTTCCCTGCTTCGTACTGTGAATAACAGAGATTAATCATAATTTCCGTGATTTTATAGAAGTCTATTTGTCTGCCTGTTAGTTATCTCTTCTTAAAACTACGGAGTCCCAGTCAGGGCGCAAAATCACCTCTCCCCTGTTCTTATAATTCTCCTGCAAGCAACCGTTAGAGCCAAACCCTTCTCATAAAGGTTGTGCAATTGCTGAAAAGTTATGAGCTGACTTAAAAAATACAGGAGGTGGCAAATGCAACACAGTAGATATAAGTAACAAAGATCTATATACAAAGGACTGTGTCTAATATAGATTTCTATTCTTTGTAGTAATACATTATTTTCTAGACCTTATAGAGGAAGCCGCCAGTACTAAAGAAAGAACTTTCATCTTAAAAATATTCTAACACAATTTATGCATAAGATTTCAGTGAAGCATAATTCTAAAGGTAATTGCATACTAGATAGTAGAATTAGATAATAGATATTTGAATTAGATACAAAAATCGCTCCCAAAACAGATGCCGTTTAATGTTATTCAAGGATCCATTTTTAATTAAGTTTAATTCACAATAATTGCACTTAAATATGCACTTGTAAATTTTCGGAAAGAAACCATTTTGGTGTTAAGAGTAACTCTGGAGACACAGCTCTTGATGAGGGAGCTCTGAATCCAGGCTCTATGTGAAAAACTTAAAATGAATTATCTAACAACCTGTTAGATACCTGTTTTATTTGTACTGAAAGTGTTACAAAAGGGCCCAGGCCCAGCCACATGGGCGGTGATATATGTGAAGAAGTGATAAGTAAGCAACCTGTGAGGGTGATATTTTTACCCCCAGCCTAAGCTGGTATAGTTCTAGCCTAGTAGTCAGCTGAAAGGGGATTGTGAAGATTAGTTTTTTGAGGCGAAGTTTAACTTCATGGGAGGAGATAACTGTCTGTCAGACGGTTATAAATAAGAAATTGTAAAATTACATCGATACTTTAGGTTTCTTTGTAGAGGTAGGAGCCATGGTAGAGATGTTGGCTGAATATAGCGGAAGATAAAGGTAAAGAAAGAGCAGGTGCTACTTGTCCAGAGGATACAGGCTATTCACTTCTGCTAGGTATTTACGCAGATGTTAAAGAGGTTAGTGGAGATGTTGAAAAGGAGTTGTAGAATTTTTTTTGTTGGGGGGTTGGTGCCTTTAGGTTTCTGTGGTTGAAAAACCATCACTGTGTTCAGACTGCAGGCTTCAGCTGGAGTGCAAATGGAAGCTAGTATGTATTATGCTTAACTTCGGGGTTAATAGTGGTTTCTTCCAATCCTTTTCCTCCTTCCTGTGGAGTTCTTGCTTTGGTGTTGTTTTTTCGATGTAGGATGCTAGCTAATTTGGAGGTCTCATTTTTATTTTTAGCTTTATTCTTGATTTTTTGGGGGGGTATGTTAGTAGGGTTTATTTATTCTGTTTCATTAGCTGCCAAGCCTTTTCCTGAAACATTCAGTCTGTATTGATAACTTTATTGTGTTAGTGTTGATTGGAGGAATAGCTGGTAGTTATATGTGGGTAAGTGAGGCGGGATTTAGCTACTCAACTGGATTTTGTGTTTAGAATCATTTTATTCCTTGGGTGATACAATGTTCTTGATTGCTAGTTGGGGTTTCCTGGGGGAGCTTTTCTGTTGTGTTAGAATGGATATAGCAGCTATTCAGGGTCTTTTCTTGTGGAACTATTTCTGAAAGTTGGGTAATAAAACCATTGGGATTGATGAGTTGAGGGTAAATTTCAGTGCTTTTTGTGCTTAAATAGGTGATGCGGTGGGAGGCAAGCATAGGAAAAGTCTGTTTGGATTTGCAGCGCTGTGGTTGTGGGTTACAGGAGACGCTAGGCTTGAGAGTGTTGGGAGGATGGCACGGGGCTATGTATTTTGAGGCGTCTTGGATTATGTGCTTTGAAGTTTCTTGGGATTAAGGTTTAGGTAAGAGTAATGTTTTTTCTAGTATTTTGTTCATGATGAAATATGAAGTTTTGGGGGGTATTTTTGAAAATCCTTCAGTAGTGTTTGTTTGCTTGTTAGGCTATGGGTGAAGGGATTAGAGGGATAACATAGCTTTAAGGAAAGCATGGGTTGGATGCTAATTGTGGTAGATATACAGTTATATAAGAAGATGAGTGTTGCTTTATGTCAGAAGTAGGTTGAGGATTTTTAGAAAAGTAAGATGAGTGAATAGCTGAATATATAATTACATGCAGGAAAATAAATGTCTTGGCCCCATCTTTGAGGGTTAAACTGGGGGAGTCTGACATAATAAAAGCAGACAAAAAAAGACAGGGAACCCACCTTTTTAGCGGTTACATGCTTGACTGAAATAGAATGTTTGCAGTTTTCTGCCAAAAAAGGTTGTTTATTAAAGAAATTCCATCTCTAAGGGCAGGAGGGGAAGGTTTAAATCTTTCTCTTCTGAAACTTTAAGAAGTTCATGAGTCTTAACTTTTTGGTTTATGTTTACCAATGTTATTCTGCAATCTACTAGAATGCTTTCAGGTTCGTGTTTAATTCTTTATTTTCTAGGATTCCAGGGAAGAAAAAAGTAATAGGGTGAAGTATAATAACAAGGTGAGTTGGTGGAAAATAATAAAAGGATATTCAACCAGCTGGCTCCCCATTGAAATATGTCTACTTCTAATAGTTGAAGAGGATCTGTAAGTGCGGTTGGGATGTTTTCTGCTGTTTGCATGTGTGGAGCATTGGGATTAGTAATAAAATTAGGATGGAAGAGAATAAAGCTAGTGCTCTGCCAGGGTTGTTAGGGCTAGAGCATAGATGGCAG